AGGTCTAATTCCGTAAGTTTAGTGGTTGGTTTGCTATTGTTTAACTTAATTTCTTGTAGTGGAAGGTCAGATGTAGTCTTGTTTTGATTTTCGTTTGGGTTTGGAGTCCAAGCAAGTCAGTCTTGGGGTCTATTTTGGCGCTACTGTGTTCAGTCTCTCAATTCCATTTGATACTGGGATCACTGGTCCATTCCTGGTTGAACTTTCTGTGTTGTTGCTGTTGGAAACTATCATTCGCTGCTGCTTGTACTGCTGTGTTGTTCCTCTGATCCTTCTTTGCTGTGAATCCTCATTTGCTTACATTCTGTCTACCAGGTACATATTTCCAGCCTATATTGATGCAACTGCATTTGATGAATATGGAAATACAATTGAAGCTTGTGTGCTGCCCTGGAATTTCAATTTGACATCTTATTAAGTCTAGATAGCTCGATTACTGTTTGATTGAATATTCATGGTTGTATTAATTGGACTGTATAACTGGACCGCTGATGTTTAGAATTAGCTGTAGATCAATTTCTTAGTAGCTGAATATTGTGTATGAACTGTTAAAAGTAGACGTGCACGATTATCATGAGCTGAATGCTTGATTGAATATTGGTAGCATAGCATTAATCCAAATGGAGCTCACCATAGTTGTTTGTTTTAACTGAACTAGCAATTAGACTATTACTACCATCGAATCCCAGAAAACGCGAGTAATTGCATAATTTGGTAATCATATTGGGAAGGCTGGGACGTTTGGATTTACACTCAAGCCGTCCCTGCCTGGGTTCGACCCTGAAGCTATGTTCCTCAGTTATACCTGGTTATATTTAATCATATCTGGGCCAACTGTTCTAACATTAGGCCCAAAGTGTTGGGCCCTTAGCATTCTGGACAGAGTGCTTTGTTTCTGAATTATCAATTGGTAAAGTTCAGTAGCCGCTCAAATTGACGCAACTCCAGTTGGGCCTGGAATTTGCTTGTACAGGGCCCATGTTTGGGCAGCTTTGTTCTTATGAGTACGGTTGAATTTGTTTAGGGCCAGCTTTGAGGCCCAAGACACTGAAAATACATCATTGCTAATTAATTAAGGTCGTTTAGAGACAAGACTTAAAAGAAGAATCGTAGTTTCTTTTGGTTGCCTTTTAAATAATAAAGTGAGATGAGCCTCGCCAATAAAAATGCAAAATCACGGGGCCCTCAATAGATGTTATAAAATACTTAGAATTCGGGTGAACCGCTTAGCGAATTTCACGGTTTTCCCCAAAGATAATAAAAGCGTAGTTGCTTTAGGCGCGTATTTTAATAATATACTTTCCTAAACTCGGGTGCACATTTATGTGACCCAAATCCAAATCTCAACGGAGTTGGAATGTGTTGACAATCACGGGTGCACTGGTGCGACGTGGTTCGAAATGCATTTTCACGACGTTGCAATTCTTATTAAAAAGACATAAAATAAAAGCGGCTAAAATAAAAGGCACATAGATTAGAATATGGTTTTTTTTAAAATAAGATAAAAGCAAATACAATAGTTGAGCGACCGTGCAAGAACCACGGAACCCGGGAATGCCTAATTCCTTCTCCCGGGTTAACAGGATTCCTTACTCGGAGTTCTGGTTAGCGGACCGTTAACAGAGTCATAATTTCCTCGGATCGGGATTCAACCGGTGACTTGGGACACCATTAATCTCCCAAGTGGCGACTCTGAATATTAATAATAAATCCCGTTTCGATTGTCACTTCAAGTTGGAAATAACTCCCTTTATTATACCCTCCCGGGGGTGTAGTAGTGAAAAAGGAGGTGTGACAGTTACTACACCAGCTCTTCAGGATACCCTTGCCCAGTTTCTAAGCATGTTTGGAACTTTAGCTCAGGCAGGGTTGATCCCACTTGCTCCTGCCACATCTCAGACTGGGGGAGGAGCACAGACTCCCGCCGCCCGTACCCCAAAGCAGCGGGTTCAGGTCAACCAGGTTCTAGAAGTCATACCAGTACAGTCGGTAGCCCCAGTTCAGCCCGAGGGTAGGGCAACAGTTTTTGAGGAGGAACAACGCAGGCTCGAGAGGTACTAAAAGTACCACCCTCCTACTTTCAGTGGCTTGGCGTCAGAGGATGCCCAGGGTTTTCTTGAGCAGTGCCACCGTATCCTTCGTACTATGGGTGTTGCGGAGTCTAGTGGGGTTTCTTTCACTATGTTCCAGCTTAGGGGAGCGCCTTATCAGTGATGTCATGCATATGAGCAGCTTCGCTCACTTGGACTCAGTTCTCGGATATGTTCTTGAGGGAGTATGTTCCCCAGAGTCTCGGAGATGCATGGCGCGCAGAGTTTGAGCAGTTGCGCCAGTGTTCTATGATCGTGTCGGAGTATGCGGTTCGGTTCAGTGATTTGGCTAGACATGCACCAGCCTTGGTTGTTGCTGTTAGAGAGCGCATCCATCGGTTCATCGAGGGGCTCAACCCCAACATCAGATTTAGCATGGCCTGAGAGTTGGAGATGGACATCTCATGCCAGCAAGTAGTGGGGATTGCTAGGAGATTGGGGGGTATGCTGGTTCGGGAGAGAAAGTAGAGAGAGGCCAAGAGGTCTCGAGAGTCTGGCACTTATAGTGGTACTCGTGCCCCAGCTGCAGCTCGTCATGGTAGGGGCTATGTGAGTCGCCCTGTTCATTCAGCACTTCCAGCCGTCAGTGGTATTCCAGCCCTAGGCCCCAGGCTCCCTATTATGCACCGCTATTGTCTAGTGCACCTCCTACATGGGGTGCTTCCACCCGACCTGGCCCATGTGGTGACACTCTTCATATGGTGAGGGATTGCCCCAGACTTAGGAGGGGTGCACCTCCACAGACTACTCAGGCTCCACGTTGTAAGGCCCGTAAAAATTTTACCTAAAACCCGGAATTTCGTGGTGTCGAGGTAGACTTACGTGTTCATGATTTCGTGGTGCTGGCTAGTTTAAAGAAATATATATACATACACAAATATACAATAAGTTGACACCCCTGGAATAAATATAAAAGGAGTACATTAATTAATTTGGATAAGAATTATATCCCAGAATCAAACCCGTGTTCACCACGGGTATTAATGCATGCAAATGACGGTTAACATCCTAAATGGGCACAATGACAGTTAACATCATATGAAAGGAATTAATGGCTAAAATTTATTTTGATGAAACACTTGTGAAGGAGGCAACACTGCAAACATTTCTCCTTGTTCTATTACTTCCTCCGTTCCAGTTTATATGAATTTATTTTCTTTTTGGTTCGTTCCAAAAATAATGACCCATTTCTAAATTTGGAAATAATTTAGCTTAAACTTACAATTCTACCCTTAATGAGAAGTTTTTATAACCACACAAATACTCTGGGCCCCTTATTGACTTGTTTAGGACCACAAATTCCAAAAGTCTTCATTTTTTCTTAAATTTTGTGCCCAATCAAACAGGTTCACATAAATTGGAACGGAGGGAGCATATAGAAAAGAGAAGCTGGTCGACCAAGAGCAGAATTGTCATTTTACTGCCATTTTATTTCCTATTTCTATTTTTTGTTGATCAAGGGCACTAAACTAATACCCAATCTTTTTCGGCATAATACCCACATGATTCTAGAAGTAGTTCTCTGATGATAGACACAACAAGAAAACATCAGTTGTTTCATTTGCTCTCACAAATTTATACTCTTCACACTTTCAAGGACTAATATTTGACTTCACATCATCATCTCAATGGAATCTTTCAATTTCAGGTAAGTATTTCTCTTAATTTTTGCTTTAATCTTCCAGTTCTTTTCAAAATTTTCAATTTCATGAATGAAATTCATGTTTGTTTTTCTTCGATGTTCTTGTTCATCCGTTCATCTCCTTCCTTAAATGTTCTTTTTGCATGATCTCTTTATTTTTTCCAGATTTTCAAAGGTTACTTTTTTCAGTTTTTTTACATCTTCTCAGCTTGTTCTAATTTCAGGTATGATTTCTCTCAATTTTTGCCCCAGTTTCTTCCAATTTCTCTTCAGACTTCCGAATCTCATTGCTGGAGTTCCTGGCTGATGTCTTTATTAGAGAAAAGGGTAGAGTTTCAAAAGGTTTTCTAAGCGTAAAATTTCGTTGGAGCCGGGGTAGATAACGATGAACAAACAGATTATAGAAGTAATTTTATTTGCTTTTGACTTCTCTTTGAATTTCGAAAAATGTCTCTTCAAATTCTGTTATACCAAACTGAATGCTTTATTTTTTTTCGTTTTTATTGATTATGAATTAAAAAGGTAACTTTCTATTGCCATCTCCCACCAATTCTTCCATCCACTCTGCGTTGTTACTATTTTTTATAGAATAGAAGCTTTATTATAGCTACCGATTGGTTAAAAGTTTTATAATTATAGATGAGCATGTTTTGAAATATTCTGCTTTTTATTGTCACATTAGTTCTTTTTGACCGAGTGCAATTTAATTGGTGTTACTTCAGTATTCTTTGACCAAATAATAATCATCTAGGTAGAGAGAAGTCAATGTTGTTTCATCTCCTTTTTTTTTACACGATAAGAAACAAATTTGGGTTCGCAATGCATCCCCATGCTCAACAAGATGCACCAACCTCAGGATGTTTTACATCAAATTTTACAGAGTTGCTGATGAAGCTTACTCTAAGTCTCGGTTGAGAACTCTGATGAAGTGTACTCTAAGTCTCCGTTGATAACTTCCATTGTATGCATTCACACAGTCAATTGATAATGAAGTATTTACAATTACATGTAAGTTTGAATTTACCTATGCTCCATTGATGTTTTCTTTAAGAAACATAAGGAAGTTTCCATTAAAAACTTTTTGCATTAATTAATTAGTATAACTTTTCAGCAGAATATTTGACTGTGATTGTGAATTTATGTGAGCTGAGTGAATCATGGATTACAGTTTATGGGTTGGTGATCTCTCCTAATATGATAAATATATGGTGTGAATGACAAAGTTTTTCACCTTTCCTCTTGCCAAGTAGGTTACACATTTGTAACAGATTATTGTAAACTGGTATTATTATGAAGATCTGCCAAGAGCATTAAATTATATTTCTTATTGCTTTTCAGCACATATCAGAGTGAGAATTTCATGCATAGCTATTGTTGCCTTGAAGTTGATTTACAGGGCATGTATCGAGTTTTTACTACCAGTATGAATGGCTCTTTTACTTTTATTATTTTGAGCTATTGAGAATTTACTTTTACGCAAACAATTGTAGGAAAAAAAGAACCTATCTGATAATCTTTTGTGACTTTCAAATTTCACCAGTTATTATTTTAGGCTGACATTTTTTTTTAAATTTAAATAGATTGCAGAAAAACAGTGCAATATACCTTGTTATTACTATGGACATCTTTAAAGGAAATAATATCTCTCATTTTCTTTTTAATATATGTGTTTGTATACCATATAAAACTATATTAGCGTCGCTATTATGAGGCAAATAGTCTTGTGACTATCAATGATTCTCCATGTAATTAAGGTTAGTTGTTGGAACGACTAAGAGTTGGCTTGGTTTGTTGTTTCAAATATTTTTGGGTAGCTTAGAAGACAACATTTGTGACAAGGCTCAATTGGAGCAAGGTCTTATTGTCAAGTCACGGAGAAGAAGCCTACCAGATTATTGCGCTTCAACTACTTTATGAAGTCAAGGCAATTAACCATCTTGATATGTTCCTTTGTTTCATGTTCTTTTGGTTCATAACTCTTAGCTTTAGTTGAATTCTAGAACGTTGTCAGAACTGTTGAAACTACCATCATTGCCCTTGTCACGACCCAAATTCCATATTAGGTCGTGATGGCGTCCAATACCGTTGTTAGGAAAGCCAACACTAATCAATTAGTGAATTCCTGTTTAAATAATTAGCAAGTGATGACTTCTCCTTATTTGATAAAAATTTAGGAGTTAAAAATTTAAGCTAAATAACTGGAAGAAATAAATACGAATCGAAATCATGTAAGTAAACCAAAATCATAAGTCTACTAGTGTGTGTGCCAAGACCTGGTGTCACAAGTATGTGGGCAATCTAGTAGAATATACAAAATCATATTATCCTATTATCTGAAAAGGAATAGACAGGAAAATAAAGACATAAGAGAGACTCCAGCTGCTGCAGAACGGCTCAAAAGGGCAGCTCACCGGGAAGTCTCAAGCTGAGGAATTAAGTCTACGCGCCGGACTCATGGCCAGATGCACCTGCCTCAAATCCTGTACAATCAAGTAAAGTGTAGCGTGAGTACATAAAAATACGTACCCAGTAAGTATCTCTTCTAACCTCGAAGAAGTAGTGACGAGGGGTCGACTCAGACACTTACTAGAGCCAACGATATAATAATATGAAGTTCCAATTCTTAAATCATAATGTATGTAGATAATACCAAGATCAAATAAGAATAATAACTGAAAAATTCTTCCATCATATTTAAGAAGTGAAGGCACTTTCTTTATTCAAAACAAGTGACCTTTCAAGCAACAAATCATACAAACTATAAAGAGTTCCAATTCTATTGTCACGCACAAATACCATTGAGGACTTTCGGGCCGATCCAACATAAAAGTAAACTGTGCACTGCCGAGGGTCAAACAGCGCGAACCATAAATGCATCTATTCTCCCCGCTCGCGAATCATACATGCGACGCGGTCAAAACATAACCCCGCTCACGAATCATACGTGCGACACGGTCAAGCAAAATTTTATCATTTAAATCGTAACTTTTTCTTGATTCTTTTTAAAAATGAAGACAATTCAACTTGAAGCCTTTAAATCCTTAGAAATCCTCAACTTAATTCCCTTCGCTACAGTTAGCACATATAATCAAATAATGGTGTCCACAAAGTATGGTGTAAACCTAAAGCTACCCGGACATAACAGAAATAGTAGCTACGTATGGACTCTCGTCACTTCATGCGTACGTAGTCCCCACAAATAACCACACATTAATTAAGTTCACCTATGGGGAAATTTCCCTCTTACAAGGTTAGAAAAGAGACTTACCTTGCTTCAAAGCCTACTTCCAAACTCAAGAACGCGCTCAAACCCTCAAATCGGAGCCGAACAATCCAAAACTATTCAAATAGCGTAAAACCCAATAATTATAGGTTCAAGATTTCATATTCTAACTATTAAAGTGATTACCCAACCCCAAAGGCAAGATTCTTAAAATTCACCCCGGGCCCATGTGCCCGGATTCCGAAATTTTTTGAAGGAAGTTGTTACCCATAACCTAAGAAATATAAATATATGATTATCACTAGATTTCATGGTCAATTACGTGGTAAAAATCCCATTCTTGACAAACCCTAGGTTTTTCATCAAACCCATGACTTCTACCAATTTTCATGTTGGAATCTACCCAAAATTTATGTATTGAACTCGCAATAGGTAAGAATTACTTACCTCCAAAAGCTAGGTGGAAATCCCTCTCAAAAAGCTCCAATAATCGCCCAAAGAGTAAGCGAAAATGAGTGAAAATGGCTTGAAAGCCGTATTAAATGAACACTGCCCCAGCGATTTTCGCACCTGCGGTCCGGCTTCTGCGGACAAAGGTCCGCTTCTGCGGAGTTGGGCTGGGCCGGCTGGGGCCGCACCTGCGGACGGATACCCGCTTCTGCGGAAAAGGAGCTGCATTTGCAGAACCTGGGCTCCTCTCCTTGGGCCGCATCTCGAGGCTCCAACCGCAGCTGCGAGCTCGCACATGCGGCTGAACAACCGCAGGTATGGTTATGACTGCAGCTGGAGCTTCAGCTCTTGCTCAAATTTTCAACTTAGTCCGAGCCTCGTCCGATTGACCCTCGGTGCTCCCGGGGCCCCGCCCGAACATACCAACAAGTTTGGAATCATAAAACGGACTTGCCCGAACCCTCGGAACGCTCGAAGCAACATTAAAACTAAGAATCACACCCTAAAACCAATTGAATCAAACTTATGAACTTCAAGTTCTTCAATCTACTTCCAATGTGCCGAAACGTACTTATACTACTTGGAATGATACTAAATTTTGCGTGCAAGTCTTAAATGACATTACGGATCTATTCCCGATCACAGAATTCCGTTTGGAACTCGATATCACCAAAACCCGCTCTAAACCAAATTTAAAGAACTTCTAAAAACCTTCAAGAACCAACTTACACTATTAGGCGCCAAACCCTCCCGAGTCATCCAAAATCAAATCCGGACATACGCCCTCGAAATTATCATACGAACCTATTGGAACCGTCAAATTTCGATTTCGAGGTTGTTTACTCAAAATATTAACCGAAGTCAAACTTGGCCTTTTAAGCCAACCTTAAGGAACCAAGTGTTCCGATTTCAACCCAAACTCTTCAAAATACCAAACCAACCATCCCCACAAGTTATAAATCAGTAAAAGCAAGAACGGAAGGTATTATTTAGGGGAACGGGGTTCTAGAAAGCAAAACAACCAGCCGGGTCGTTACAGGCTTGGTCCCTAATTTGTCATTTTCGATTGATATTCACGTCTCAATACATGCTGCTTTGTACAAAGATATATTCCAGGATCATAGACATCAGACCTTAAGGCACTGATAGCTTCTACACCTATAAGGAGATAAACATTTTTGGTTACTTTAAGAGCTTACACATAGTTGGTGGTTTGTCAAATCAAAAGCAAAAATTCTCAATCTTCATATAATACATTATAATAACTTCAGTTTATCCGATGGTTGAACCTCAAATTGTGAACCAAATCTTGGAAGTTTTAATATTTGAAATACAATTTCTCGTGATCTTCATGGCTCATGCATAATGCACACCGAGATGTTGTTTCAACCTTTAGGATAGAACTATTGTCTTATATTGATGTTCAACGAACCAAATAGAAAATGCTTTGGAGTTGAACTTGCTGATGTTCTTCCTTTTTATTTAGAATTTCAACAGATCAATCATAAGAAAGTCTTTTTGTTATGAATAACAGGTTCGCGAAATCTAATCCCTCGGGCTAAACCTATGTTTAGAGTATCTCAGTAATCCAAAGATCATCTATTTGTCTACATTTTCTCATTTTTTGCTTTTTTGTTCAGGTCATGTGCTCACCACTTCCTATAACAAATCTTATCAACTTACCTTAAATACTTTGCTTCACTAGAAGATCTAGAACAATACAGATAACCATCATGATAAAAGGGTAAAACTACCGGGAACGGAGTTCTACGAAATTAAAAAAATTCGACAACATCTCTAAGATCTTAGAATTTTGGATCTTTTATGGTAATGGATTGGCTTGGGATCTCGTGGATTGAATTGCGTACAGAAGTCTATGTTAATT